CAGACAGACAGACAGACAGACAGACAGACAGACAGACAGACAGACAGACAGACAGGGCATAGAAGAATGGAGGAAGAGATAATGAGCCATTGAAATACAGTCTGAATTTTAATTCTGTCCCTTTTCGTCCTTTAACCAATATCATTACCCTCGTGTCATTTATCTCTTCATTTCAATTTTCCCCAGAGGAGTACTCATTCTGAAAGATCTGGATTGAGTCCTTTGTTTGAGCGAGAGCAGAAAGGTTTCGAAAAAGGTAAGCATAGTCTGTAGAGAGGGTGAACACGAAAGATGAGAAGGAGGAGGAAGACGAGGAGGAGGAGGAGGAGGTGGTGGAGGTGATGGAGGTAGTGGAGGTGGTGTTGAAAAATAGAGATCCGATGATGACAAAAAAGGGGGGGGGGGGGCTGAGAAAGCCTAAGAAAAGGATGAAGAGACGGGGCAAAGAGTGAGAGAAGGTAAAAGATACGGCTTAGACAAGTTTATTATGAGGTAGAGGTGTGAGACTAGGAAAAGAGAAGATGAATTATATGATGTTAGATGGTTAGGGTGTGGCGGAGGTGAAGAGGGACAAGGCGATCGGAAGTAAAAAGAGGATTAGGAGGAATAGGGGAAGGGCGAGACAAAGTTTGATGATGATGATGATGATGATGATGATGATGATGATGATGATGATGATGATGATGCTGATGCTGATGCTGATGATGATGATGATGATGATATCATCATGATGACCACGACATTATTTATATATTACTACCAGCCTTACATAAGTTTCTTTTCATTGCATCTTATTGAGCGTCTTAAAGCTACCTGATCAGAGAGAGCTTTTTTCTTTTTTTCACTTATTCTTTCTTGTTTGTTATACCTCCAGTATATTTTATCTTGTCGAGAGGCGAAACATTGGATAGTTATCTAAAAACCAAAATTTTAGCCATAATATCCAGCTCTGCAGCTCTTTCAATAGGGATATCATACTTTTTCAGGGTTTTCTTGACTCCCTCAATCCACCTTTCGTGTGGTCTTCCTCTTCCTTTACAATAGCCGAAATGCTTGGTGTTATAGCCTCTGGAGGCTGGCTAGGTAACATACGTAACAGGTGGCCGAACCATTTTATTCTCTCTTTTTCTATGAAATTCAGACAGGACTCAGTGCCAATAGTTGTATGTAAATTAAATTGAAACAGATATAATGATAATGACCATGATGTAAATGTTAATCTTATTACGAAGGAGAAGTGGTAGGATAGTAAAGAGGGGTTTAATTTGTTTATTTTTTTAAAGATTGTATAAGGGGGGTGCGTGTTTGTAGGTTGGGGGGGGACTCGCAAGAGAAGGAATATAATTAACATGCGGAGAGAGAGAC